ACTGGGCTTCAGCCGCTGCGCTACGCGTTGAGCAGCATAACCAGCCGCTTTTCGTAGACGGCTGGCAGGAGAAGCTAAACAAAAAAAATTCGAGAAAGACTTTACCTTATTTTGGACCTCTTTGTTCAATAGTATTTTATGGAGAGTTTCTCCCTGATTTAAAAAAAACTGCTACATTTTGAATTAGGAACAGTCGTCTAACCAAACTAATGCTTACCCATCCAGTTAAAGGCGCAATCAATTTTTCCGCAACACTTACGTTTGTCAACAATTGCGAAAAGTTACATCGTACCTTATGAAAAGATTTTAAAAGTGTATTTAATGCGATCTATGCTCAAAGTGGACATGCACTCGGTCTTCCGCCTACAAGTCCCTGGCACTTTATCAAATTTCAAAAGCGTCTTACAATAATTGAAAGAAACCTGAATGCACTACCGAAGGCTTCTCAATACTTCATTATTTACTGTTATTTGCAATACCTCTTTTTTTCTCTGTCTTGTTGGAAGTCTACAAACTCTTCTTGAGCACAGAATTTTGCTTATACTCAAGTGAGCAACGCAACGAAGGAAGTTCGAAAAATCAATTTCTTGTTTACGAAATAATTTATGATATTAAGAAGAATCACTCTGACGCAAGTTAAATTTAGTCAAAGTCAAAGCATTTTACCACAACTGTATTTATGCGTTTAAGGTTGGGACGATGGAGAAAAATGTCTTGTTATCACGAGAAAATCGATAAAAAGTCGAAACACTATCAGATTGCTTGAGGAATCTCTTCCGCAAAGTTACTTGATATTGTGGAAAATCACTCTTATTTTTTGACCAATAGGAGGTGTATTCAGACTAGACATTCAGCGTTAGCCAGAATAGAAACCTACTACGCTACTATTCCAATAGGTTCCGAATTCGAAGAGAAATGCAGATAAAATATACTGATGTGCTTTCTTGCTTTAAAGACGCACACTTATGTACGTCAGCACGATTTAACAGTTGTTCTTGAAAATTTCAAGGTTAAAACCAGGTAGAGATTAAGTCAAAAATTTTCACATTTTGCTTAGAAGGTGTCATCACATAATTCATAAAATCCTGGGATAAATTTCACTAAGGGTGTTGACTTGTGAAGAGTATAAACCTGCCTCAGAAGTGCGATAAGCAGTGAGCGTAGGAACATCGAGTGCGCGTCATTCTACGATTTCGTTCCACTTCAGATTGGATTCGTTGGATCGGTTTCTATACAAATATCGCCGCTTTTTGCAAACGCCGGGACATTATTCTAGATATGGAAAGGAAATTTCTCGAATTCCAAATGAAAATGGAAATGGTTCTCTTTGGGAAAAAGAGAGAAAAGGGGAAAGACGAGGAACGATTTTCAGGGCTTTAATATTATGAGACTGTAGGAAAATGTGGATAAATTTGTTTGAAATGGAATTGTTACAAAAGTTTTTGTAAGTAATTGATTAAATGATGTTTCAGCAATGCAGCATTGAACATAAGCGGATCGCTTGCTC